TTATTATAATAATATATATCAATACTTTGTGTAGTCCAGTCTAGTATCAACCTCGGCTATGCTCCACTTCCCCTTCACAGTTGTCACAAACAACATATCGCGAACAAATTATGATCCGACAACTAGGCGCAAGCAACAATTGCGCCTTATTACATAATAAATAACAGTTTCGCCTAGCGATATAACTGATAACGCCGCTAACTGCATACCGCGTGCGAGAAATCAACGTGAAGCGCGGAATATAAAAGTAACGAGGGGAGGAGATGAATGAGAGATCCGCTGTCTTTTTCGATTTTGCAGCCCCTTCGTGACATACTAGTAGCATAACACTGGTTTTATGATACTAGCATGGTACAACTGCATGTCGAGCGGCCACTTTTTCCAACGTCGTTTCAACTTATTAATAGAATTGCTAACATGAAGAATGAAATATCGTCATTGAAGGTAAGAAAAATTTGAAATCATTTTCTTTTTCAATGATGATATTTCATTCATATTGGCAATTTTCGACAAGTTGGAACCTTCGGTTAAAGTTAACCGACGTTGAGAAAGACGGCCCGAAGAGAATGAACGAGATGAACAGTTGCCGACGTTCAATCATTTCTCCTCAATGAGAGGCTCAAAGCTCCAAGCGTGTCATTCGGAGCGTTACAAACTTTCTTACAAATATACCTAATGCGTGCTTACACTTTTAATTGCGAACAATCGTCTTTACAACCCCTAAACACAGATTTGTTAGAACACTTTGCATTCCGAGCGATAAATAGTCGGCAGCGCGCGTTTTCTCTTCTCTTTTCTAAGCATCGATGCTCCTCTACGTATTCAGCAGATCGATCTGCATACGAAACAAGCGGTGTCTCGTATGCACAAGCTCAAACAGAATATACAACGATCGTCAGAGCCGGATTTAGCTGTGTAGACGCGAAATGTAAACAAGTGGAAGTTGAAAATGTAACATTCTAATATAATAATAAAATTCACTCTTCCCACAATTTTGGGAACTGTACAACAAAGCAGAGAGATTCGCTCTATCTATGAAAATATTAATATAATATAATTAAACAATAATGCAACATTAATACATCAAAGATTCTATTTATTAGTAAATCCGGCACTGACCATAATTTCTATGATAGAAACGGGTGGATGTTTCCACCCAGTTGGTTCCCAATGTAAAAATGCGAAAAACGAAAAATGAAATACCTCAACAAAATTTCTCCTAGAAATATACATACATGTCTTATATATTAAGCACATACGCCAGAATGTCTCGATTCGATTCATAGGAAGCTTAATGCTACATTTCAATGCTTATTATCGTCAAATGAGCGTAAAATATATGTATATATATGTATATATATACGTGTGCTAGTAATCTCCAGCTCTCGATACGGAGCAGAGTCGGCGCGAGATGTGCAAATAACACTAAGAAATTAAAGAATGCGTTTGTCGTTTATTTTTTTTATAGCCTAGACATCGTTTTATAAAACATAAATCGCTAAAAGCGATAATTATTCACTTAAATATATATATATCTCGCCTTTTTTTATACTATCCAGTTTTTTATTCGAGGGATTGGGGGGGGGGGAGGCAATATTTCGATATCGCGATAATTTCTTAATCTGCGTCTCATTTATATAAAAAAAGTAGTGTGCTATATATCGAATATGCTCTACATACATTTAATGTCTTCGTACACGATCGACTGTAAAATGTAATTGTAATACGCGATGAGTGACATTATCATACATTTATGAGAAATAATGCGTGTATGTGTATATGTCTCCTTCGAGAGGGAATATAAAATTCAACTGCTGCCTTCGCTGGATAGCTGGCTCCTCTTCCTTCCTGTTCCTTAATATCGATGCAGTGTTAACTGTGCTCCGTGCTGCACTCCCACAAATATCTCCTATATATACAATAGCGCGGTTACATCCTGTTCCGTGCGTGCTCCATGGCACGCGGACGCACGCCGAAATTTGCGCGATACACGCGCAATCGTCCTGCATCTCTCGCAAGAATTAAATCCTAAAAATTTAGACGTTTCTCTTTCTCACAAAATTCGCACAAATTCGGTGCTACTTTCCTAAGATCCACGCGCTCGGAATAAATTTCTATCTAAACGAAACGAAGCTATGCTCCTCGTTCCTTGCTCGAAACTTATCATTTTGCCCCTTTATCACCGGTGCAAATTTTACATTCAGATGTTACACATTCATGAACGAATTAGCTGACGATGCAATAAGAAAAGAATTTTTCGCGCGCGCACGCGTGCGCGATTTGAGACTAACTTACTGAATTTGCATGCTGCATTTAATTACACCACACCAAGTATACAGTCGCCTCTCACCATGATTTGATGCGCCGCGTATATCCTATAGAAAATATGTTCTCACACTTTCTCACATTTATATATCCGTAAATGTAAAAAATTTTCTCTCTACTATTCTTTCATACGATTTTCTTTCTCTCTCTTTCTCTCTCTCTCTCGTTCGCTCACACGCACACTTCCTTTCTCTCTTTAAGTCTCCCGGCTTTTCGTTAGAATATAAAATTCACTAGATGCATTGTCAGCGGGAGAAGTCCTTTTTATGGTCCAATACTTGACAACTACCCGCGGGGTTAAAAGACGTAATCAGGACCGGCCATGTCTATTGCCCATCGGAACTTGTCCCTCTGAGTTTTATTGTAGATCTTCTCGATGGGCACGTTGTGCTTCTTACACCTAGAGGATAATACATATTCACAGAACCGTCGAAAGAAGCAACGCGGAAGCAACGCGAAACCAACACCGAAATGTAAAAATGAAAAAAAGTATCGGTATTTAGCCAAAGGTTTAAATAAAAAAAAGGAAATACAAAATATGTATGTGTACTTACCATGCAACGGAAATTCTAGGATCGAGATAATTCAACTTGGAGGTGCCCAGAGCGATCTCTTTGTTCTCTTCTCGGTCGGTCGCTTGCACCTCCAGCTTCGTCAATTGTTCCTTCAATCTTTCCAATTGCTTCTTCTTCTTGTCGTACGTTCTATAAAAATATAATGAGCGATTAATTCGTGCGGTAAAGGTATTGACATGTAGGTGCACACCGTGAAAAATATAAAAAATAAGATAAAAGAATCGACTCTAAATTGTACAAAATTTTGTCGTTAAATTACAAAAGTTCATCGAATACAAAAAAGTTCATTAGATTATTATCTTTAGTGATTTATATATTTAGATTAACATATATAAATATATAAAAAAAGGATAGATGAGAAGAAATGACGTACACTTTTTCCTTCACCGAACCGTGCTTCGCGTCCCGTTTGGCGTCTTTCACTTGCAACTCGCATTCGGCTATTGCTTCTTTCTTCGCTTCGATTTTGGCCTTTAGATTCTCCATAGATTTTGCATGCGTCTTTGGCACGGAACGCTGATGGTTACAGAGTATGGCGACTGCGCGATTCGCCCGGTTATATGAGAGGATCTTCTCCGCTTCCATGTCGTTCGGATCAGTCAGTTTGTCGAGCTGCTGCTGCAGCGTCCACGAAGCGTTGTAAGTCCTGAACACTTTGGCAGTGAGACCCTCCATCAGCTCATTCAGATGCTTATTCATCACGGTGGTGTTGAGCCGATCGAACAGATCGTCGCCGGGTGATTTATTTTCCATGAAGAGTTGCAAGTTCTTAAAGACGCGCTTCTCCACCGGAACCTCGTTATAATATCGTATTGAATCTTTACCTGCGGAATTAATTTCGTGGCAATCAGAAGTTGGAAGATACAATGTAATTAAATAAAGGATAAATGATATAGTTTTTATACTCTATACAATTTCATATAAATAAAAAATATGTAGAAAAAGATTCAGTTTCAATATTCCGAAAAACTAATATAAAATCTTGTTAAATAGAATTTTTTAATATATTTTATATTAATTATATATATATATAATTATATTAAACGTAATAATCTCTGTCTAATTACCTAAGAAATCGAACACAACCACATATTCTCTGCCATCCTTATGTTCGTGCAGCTGGATGTGTTCCACGCGCAGCGAACAACAGCCCACAGTGTCTGCCTGATCCTCGTCCTTCTCATTACCGGCCCTAAGCGCCAATTTGTCGATGAAGTACAGGGCGACGGCGCGCTGCCTGATGCGCATCTCTTTGCTCTTCCAATCCTCGCGGTATTCCGCACGAATCTTGTCGATTGACTGCGCGAGCTTGCGCGCCGTTTCGTACTTCTGCCAGTCCTTCTCACCCTTGAGCTTGCTGGACGGATTCAGCATGACATATTTCACTTGACCCTGGATATTCTCCGTCCAGGACGCAAGCCATGTGACATTGGGATCGTGTCGTATCTCCTTCCACTTGTGACCGGGCGGTGGTTTCGGTATATTCGAGGTCTTCGAGCAATTAATCAGAACATCTTCCGGCACCACGCGCTTCTTCAGCTTGCCCATCTTGGGATGCTCGCCGCGACCTCTGAACAGACCTGGCGGCTCAATCTTGAAGTTACCTATCTTCTCCTTGTGGCCGTCGATGACGCAGAAACCGTACTCCTTCTGAATTTCATCGTTTTTCTCCTTGATTTTCTGTTTCTCCTCCTTGGTCATCGCCTTACGTTCTTCGCTCTTTTGCAAGAAATATGAGTGTATATCTTTGAAGTTGCATTTTGATAGATCGATGATCTTGGCGCGCTCCGACTCGGTCATCACATCCCGCCAGTCTTGGAAAAAGTTGCTATTGAACGCAGGCTTTGTCGTGTAATCGTGGTCCAGCATACGAGCGTAGAAAGTTGCAACTTCCTCCGTGTCTTGACTCAGTTTCATTTCTTTGCCGTTGTAGTAGAACTTAACGGTGGGTGGCAAAGGTTCGTAGGGCGGTGCGAATACTGGTCCCTTGTGTTCCAAGAAATTCCATTTTGTACCGTCACTCTTCTTCTCTTCCTCCCACCTGCAAAAAAATGTTTTGTTAATTTATTCATGTTTTATTATTATTATTCATTATTAATTAAATAACCCGCAAACACACTATATTAAATTTGATCGTCAAAGTAAACACAAACCACATAAAATGGAGACTAATTTTACATTAAAATTGCAGATATAACCTCACAATTGGTGAGCTTTCTTTCATCTTGTAATCATAATTGAAAAAGTTTTTAACATTGAATCGGCGAATCATTATGAAATAGCTCACTCCATTTCTTAGAAGATTCCTCATTATATCATACTGTCTGTTACATCTCATCATGTGAATTGCAAAGTAGAGCAAGGCAGTGTAAAGAGAGAAATAGGTTATGATGCAATATTCAACATTTTAGGGACTTTCGTCAGTAACTTGAAACGTAAAAATAAATTAGGGAATTAAAGTTTAGATAAGAGCGCAGTTACGTGACTGCGTCTTGGCGGGAAATTTCGAATAACTTTATAAAATCTTTATACCATTTCCAAACTTCTTGCTCGTCTTCTTGCTTCTTCTTCCGCGGACTGCCGCCTTCTGTTTTCACCTTCGTGTTCTTCTTCTTTGGTTTCTGTAACGAATATACCACTGTGAAGTATTTTCTAATTCAAGTTAAATTACAGCAAAATAAAAAAATGTATTACCTCTTCAATCTCAGCATCAGAATCATCGTCATCGTGTTTTCTCTTCTTCTTCTTGGGTCTTCGGAGTGGTTGATTTCTTAGGTTTCTTGCGTGCCAACAGTGGAACATCTTCTTCCTCTGACTCGATCTTTCTCTTCACACTTGGCGATACCTTTGATCTCGCAGACTATGTTAATATACATGATTAAATAATATTAATTACAAAATAAACAAAATAAAAAAACAAAAATAAGTAAAATAAATAAAATACTAAAAAAAAAAAAACTATATATAATAAACGATACTTTCTAAAGTATTTTACATTTAACTGCTTCATTTTAATTATTTTTTTATTTTTGATATAATTAATTTAAAATTCACCAATGGCAAATCTTCTTCCGAATCGTCTTCCGTTTTTATGGTCGTATTATGAAGTTGCGACAATCTGGTGTCATTCATCGAGTCATCACTCGCACCTTCCTCCTTCATTGGTTCATCATCGTCGTCCTCTTTGATGTAGAGCGGTCGCTCGCCGCCACTGTCATCGTCGTCATCTGGTTCAATTTGCGTCATGGATTCCTGAGGAAACATACATTTCAGCGTCTCGTTCTCTACTTCCACATGCAAATCTCCGATAGATTATCGCCAAGAAAATATTACCTCTTTTATCTCTGTTTTAATTTGCGGATTAAAATGAAACCCTTCGTTAATCACATGATTCATTTTCATATTCGGCTCTTCCTTCACCCTAACTTCCTCCTTATCTTTATCCTTCCTCTCCTTATCGTCGCGATGCTTAGCTGCAATTCAAATTTGTGGCCAATTAAAGAAAGAGTGAAACCAACAATTACGTAATTACATATTTAAATAATAGTACTTACATTTGTCTTTGTCATGCCGATGGCGATCCTTGTCTTTTTCATGGCGATGCTTATCTTTGCTACTAGACGAGCTTTCTCTGTGCTTATCTTTGTCTTTCTCCGATGAACGATGTTTCTCTTTGTCACCCGACGAATGAGAAGTGGAATGTCTTTCCTTGTCCTTCTCCGAAGAGTGCTTCTTGCTATCCTTTTCCTTATCCTTCGAGATGCTTCGATCTTTGTCCTTGTCACGTGAGCTAGAATTCAAAGAACTGCTGTGTCTGTGCTTATCTTTATCTTTGCTCTTCGAATCCTTGTCCTTGGAGCTGCTGTGATGTCTGTGGAAAAAAAAACATTGCATAAATATTTGAATTACATTAAACACTTGTTATTGTTAATTAATTTTTTATTTATTTTACCTGTCTTTGTCTTTAGAACTGGAGCTTGACTTGTGATGATGTTCCTTACTCTTGTCTTTATCCTTGTCCTTACTGGACGAGCTACTCTTGTGCTCCTTATCCTTGCTGGAAGAGGAACTCTTCTTGTCTTTGTCTTTGTCCTTGCTATTGCTATCATGCTTTTCTTTGTCCTTAACAGAACTGGAGCTATGTCTATGCCTATCCTTGTCTCTGTGTTCGCTCTTGTGATTCCTTTCTTTATCCTTACTCCTGTCCTTATCCTTGTGATCAGATTTATGAGACCGCTCTTTATCCTTGTCTCTGTGCTCAGACTTGTGTTCTCTTTTTTTATCAAAGCCATTGGACATGCCATTGATATGATCTATAAAAGTTAAATAATTAAATAAAATTATATAGCAATAGACATTTATTTATATTTAAAAGCCTTGATGATAAAATGCATTGACCTTGATTAATATAAAAAAATGTAATAAAACATATAACTAGATGAGAGACCTTGATTTATGGTAAAAAAAAATAGCAAAGTACAAAATAAAATGGAATAAGCCTTGATTTATTAAATTCCAGATTGAAAACAATGTCTCACTATTGAGAATACTTTTCAACTTAATTTAGCAATATTTTGTCCAAGAGCATGGAAATTTTTTTATCACTGAAATAATTACAGTAAAAAAACGCGCTTTACAGATTCCTATCACAAGTGGTTTACAACCATCTGTTATTTCTTATCTCTTCAATTAAATTTCCGAATATCATTACGTTTGTTAAATTTTATTATGCGCAAATAACAAATGCATTTTCAGAAGAACTAGAATTTTCTTCGTTATAATTTTCTCACGTGGAATCCTCGTAATCGAACTGATTTTAATAAGGAAAACAGTTCATCGAGGATCTTGCTTTCGAACGATTTTCGTGGGAATCAAGACACGTGTTGGTTCGTTCATTACGATGAAATCGTAACGATGGAATTAATTTAACCATGTTTCGTCCACGGTCGCCCGATTCGGTCATTGTTCGCTCGTACTTATATCTGCCTTGCGATACGACCGGAAAAAGTACTCACCGCTATGATTCCCGGAGACGCCACCGCTCTCCTTGGCCCTCTTCTCCTAAAACAAACGAGCCCGTTCAGGACGGGAACATGAAGGTAAGACGACGCGCGCGTCCACGCGCGTCGATTGGACTTAGCATTCGCGAAACTGGCCGCGGAAGCGCCTCCCGTTACGAACGCTCACGCCACTCTCGGACTTAGTTGCAGACGCCATTTTTACACTTAGAAAAATTTCGCGTCGCTCGGCCGTGTAGCGACCAAGAGGCGAGAGCGTTTGGGCGACCAAATGTTGCGAAAATGCGCACCTACATAGCTGCGGCAGTTCGCGTATAGGCGAAATATGCCACTTACCGGGTCGGCGTTCACCTGCGGTGCCGCCTGCTCGAGCTCCATTTCCCCGACACGGACGTGTATACGCGCGGCCTGCGTGTATGATAGCTGCAGCCAACGCGGGCGAAAAGGCGAATAACGCTGACCGACGAGCCAAGTGGATAGAGACTGGTCTAAAGCGTGCGCACGGTACTCCGTGCGCAAGTCCTCCTATGTGTCTCCGTACAACGAACCGCCCGCTGTGAACGCGAGACTTGCAAGAGAACGGAGTTTACTACTTACACGTCGCGCCGCAACACGTCCGATCCACTACGAGTCCTCCGTACGACTGTCTGCCTTCCGTGTGCGCCGCAACACCGCGCAGCGCCCAGTCTAAGTGCCACAAACGCGTTATCGCGCATGCGTTCGCGCACCTCGCACCCCCGAGCCCCGAAACGACTAGAACAGTCGCGACGATCGAGGCTCGATCCGAAGGAGTCATTCACCGCGGAGCCGATTGAAAAACCGGTATGGTCGCGTCGGAAAGTTCAATTTCTGATGCGACGGACACGCGCGAGCAAAGACTTCACGCCATACGTCGTGCACCTCGCGCATTCGAGAAATCATTATCCGAATCTGAACGCGGCGATGTGAAGTCAGTATCGATGTATCGATGTAATGTCGATAATTTTTCCCTTTCTGGTTTTTTAACGCAGATTATGAAGAAATAAGTCTCCGTGAAGCTCAGAAGAAACGGCGGATTTAATATCTTGCGCCAGAATTGGAAAAAATTCCGGAGACGGAAAATTTCTTTTTTTTAAGTTGCTTAACGTGTCTTCAATCTAAAATATATGAATAGGTTATTTGACAGACGGGAAATTTCACTCGCAAAATAGATTGTCTAAGGTTGTCGGGATCACAATATTGGGAATGAATGGAAATATTCTTCATTAATATATACATAAAAGTCCGGAATTAGAGGGAATATGTAGACCTAATGATGTAGAAATTACTTCGTACGTTTTACTGATTTTGAGAATAAATTTTACTTGAGATATCCCTCGTTGTGTTGCAAAATAATGTTGATTATGTATTTCGATTGATTCAACTTCACATGTGTTGCAAGACGAAGAGATAAATTTATCCAGATGCGCATGCGTGAGTGCGTCATTGATTATATGATCTTGATAGACTCGTACGAAGATGTTACACAGGACATGCCTTGATACTCAATACAATTATCTACATTTTTCCGTAACTAACACTTGTGTGACACGTAAAAATTATATCAAGTATTAAATAAATACCATTAATATCAACAAACGTAAATAACAGATATAAATTACATTAATAGCAAATAAATTTGCGTTTAAAAAAAAATTGATTTTACTGACTGTGAATAAATAAATGTACTTCACAATAATTAAGCTTTTAGCGCTACTAACACCATTTTTACACACAACTGTCAGTTTCTACAAAATTATAATTATGAGTATCACAAAGATGACATCGTCCTTTAGTAAGCTACTCGTAGCACATAGCAATAAAATTATTTATATGATATACTTAATATAAAATTCGTTAATATCTATTCCCTAATGTCTATAAAATCGTTTTTATATATTCGCAGTTTTCCTATTTTTCTTTCTTTTATAGCTTTACATACTCTGGCTTTCCTTTGCTTTCTTACTATCTTCTAACTTTATATATTCTGGTTTTCCTTCTTTATCCCAGATTGTTTTCATCTTTTGAAAGGCAAAGACCGCATACAATGCTATGAAAAAAAAATATTTTGTGTTAAAATATCTAACATTAGATTATTTGAATTATACCTTCCTTCATTTTTTTATTATAATTTTTGTACTCACAAGTAACTTCCCATTCCGATTGTGAAAGAGTGCCAATCTTATGTTGATCTGTAGACGAATTCTGTATATACTGCACTGCGTGCTGATAATCTTGTTCACGATCGCCGAGTAGTCGACTTTTATTATCTGGCAAATAAGTCTCCAGCGCTTCCATATTCACCAACAAGGACCTACCTTCCTCCTTGAAACGTTCGTAATACTTATCAAACCTGAAAGTGGAAATTTTGAAATAGTTTAAATTTAAAATAAGATTAAAAGAATTTACTTAAATATCTATGTAAATTTATTTAAATATATCTATTTAAATTTTAATTAATATTTAAAGAGAATATAGATAAAATTAAGATAAAAAAAGTCATTTTTGTAGTTATTCTCTAATATATACAAATAATTAAGATATTTAAATGTATGTATCTTCTCTTACCTTTCAAATTCCACTAATTCGAGACCGTATTTCAGAGCTAATTTACACAGAATGGGTAGATACACTAAGAATTCTGGGCAATCAACTACACCTTCCAGATGAAAATCGTATTTAGCGCCAAAAAGTGGCGGATTTGTTTTGTCACATTGAAAATCGACACTGTATATGTTGTTGCCGAATTTGTTGCCATCGCACTTTTGCCACCTAGAACTGTTAAACAAATAGTTAGCGTATATGTTTGCTTTATATAAAATCTCATGCAAAATAAATATACAATTAAACAGTCTTTAAGAATATAAGAAATAAAAAAGAAATTATATAGTAATTATTATGTAATAGTACAGATCATATAATAGTAAAATAATTAAAGTATTATTTTACATATAAGTGCATAATAGATATTTATTAGTCAAGCACTTTTATTATCTGATAGAAATAGAACAGAAAAATGATTAGAAATTTTTGAAGAGTACATTTAAATTTATATTATTTTAGAAAAAGTAATGTGATCTTAAAAAATGGATATTCCTAAAGAAAAAATACATACACTAAATCATATGCATCTGGGATGGTGCCAATAAAGTAGCCACCTGTCTTTAAACACTCGGCGGCATTCCGGAGCATGCATTCTGCCTGCGGTAGGGATTCGAAACTGTAATGGAATGCAAATTGACAGCTGACGAAATCCAATTGTATGCTGGGATCCTTGAACTTCTCCCTCAAACGTACCTGCAACACTTGTGATTAACAAACTTCCATTGACAAGTGCTTTTCATGCTAAATAAAAGTGCAAATAGCATTTAGACACATAAAGATATGTGTAATCTACCTTTGTACAATCAGCTGGTATAAATTCTGCGGTGAAACTTCTCTCCTTGAAACCCTTCTTGTTCATCATATCAGTATACCGTTGTTGACACTGCTCTAATGACACTTGTGCTATGTCTGTACAAATCAGATGTGAGATATGGATCTTTTTCCACTTGAAAAGATCTCCACCTTTTCCACAGCACATATCCATTACTTTTAGTGAGGTACTAAAACCTTTCCTCACTTTATTCGCATAGTCACCTGATAAATAATTTATATTAATTTATTCATTTGCAAGAATAACAACTATTTAATAAAATAAAACAGATTAATATAAAAACACAATAATAAAATAAGGACCAATGAGAAAGCTAAATTTAGTTTTTTTTTTAACAATTAAAGAAAATACAAAGCAAAATTTAAAATTTTTCACTATTTTAAGTTTTTATATTAGTATAATTACAGTAAATAATTATAGTATTATTATAGTATTGCGTTTGACTGTTTGAACTCTCATTGGTCTTTTCTTACTGTTGCAATGTTATTTAATTAATATTTCAACAAATAATTAAAAAATTTATTAAGAAATCAATAATTACTTATAAGCATGCTCTTGATCCAATTATTAAAATTTCTCATATACACAATTCGGCTTTGATTTCGATATGAGAGACCCTTTTCCTCCAGTGCATTATAGTGCTCTGCCACCAAAGCTGTATTGTCAATGCTTCTGCTTGCATCAGATGTATTGTCCTCTTCTTCATTATTTCCAGATGTCGTCAAATCTGAAGAAATACTTGAACCCTGCAACAAATAAGGTATTAATAAAATTTTCAAGATTATATTCAATAGTAATATGTAGTTTATAAACTCACAGGAGATGTAACATCCTTATTAATAGCATATTTTGCTTTTTTTGGGGACTCTTCATGATCAGATGATAATCTGCACTTCTTGCTCTGAGGACTCTTTATATCTGTACTTTCATTTGTTTCCGATTTCTTTAACGTTTCAGATTCTTCTGCAGCATAAAATTTTATCATCTCACTGAATTTTGCTTTTTTTGAGGACTCTTCATGATCAGATGATAATCTGCGCTTCTTGCTCTGAGGACTCTTTATATCTGTACTTTCATTCGTTTCTGATTTCTTTAATGTTTCAGATTCTTCTGCGGCATAAAATTTTATCATCTCACTGAAAACCATTAGAGTTTTTATTACATTATGTTAAGTTTCCTATATTGGAATAAGTATATTGTAGAAAAAGTAATTAATTTTCATTTATTCATTATAAAATCACTGATAATTTTAATTAGTTTGTGATTCTGGTGTAAATAAGATTACGTGTTTATTCAAAGTTATATAAAATCGACATGCTTTCATTTATAGAAATAATAAAAACAATGATAAAAGTAACATAAATTAATATAAACAATGTGAAAGTAAGCATTAGAATATAAATAATATTTAGGAATAAATCAAGTTTAAAATTAGAATATTGATTATAATTAAATAAAAGTCGTTGTTAATTATTTATAATTGAAGTCAGTTGTTTAAAACTAAAAAAATATACGATAATAAAATAATAAAAGAGAGAGAGAGAATACTGTATTTTAAAATGTAGAAAATGTAGATAGAAAAGGCAAAATGTAGAAAAAGCAGACCTTGCATGCTGTTTCTCGTCAGTCTTGTCTCTCGCTTCTGCACTAAGTGTTGACATATCGATGCCTTGATATATGAATTGTAAATAAAAAGGCACACGTTGTAGAACGAAAAATCGTTTCAGCTATTAAAAATGCGAGGAACACCTGCGTATCATCATCACACGTTAGCGAAATCTCAAGTAGACTTTATAAACTCACTTCTTCCTTTTACACCTTGCATATATCTATATATCCATAACTACCATTTATTATATCTATGGATCTTACGCCATAAATAATGTCGTCTATGATAGACGACTCACATTACATTCTATAGAAGCTATCTTTATTTTTTGTAAGAATAAAAATGTCGGTGATTAAAATCCCTAGGAAATGCATTTTTCTATTGGACCGTTATTTTTATGTTTGTACACTTTTTTGTGGATAAACTATTATGTTTGATAGCGATTTCAGTGGGGCCAACAAAGTTGAATAAAGTGATTGACTGAAACGACTAAAATAAAATTAGGTTATAAATTCTACGAAAATTCTTGAGTTTCACAGTGAAATTGTTTAATTGGACATAAATGGAACGAGTAAAAGTTTTTTCTTAATTAACGATTTATATCTATGCTATAGAATATCAAATCTCACCGCAAAATTAATTGGTCACGAGTTATTTTATGGATTATGAACGTAAATTGAAACACTAAGTGATTATTTATTTTTAAAATATCTTAAAAGATGATATCGCGGTTATATGTATTTATCATTATATATTAAAGAAACTATGTTTACAAAAACAAAGAAAATTACATTTAATAACAAAGCTAAATCCTGAAGAAAAATGCTTTGTTTATGACAGTGTTGCCACTACGCACAATAACAACAGGGATTAGAAAATTGTTGGATACAATTGTTTGTTTACCTTATTTAAGTGTATCTAGATAAGAGGAAGTACACATATAAAATGTCCATTGTCTTTCTTTGACATTTGGTGTGACAATATGGGCATATAATGTGTGGAGTTGTAACTTTGATGATAACTAAATTGGTAAGCAACTGTCAACCCAATACACACGTTCTCATCTATTATCTGATCTAGATCTATCGTGCTTGAGGCTCTTATCTTGCAGCTTATCTAAAATTCAATAAGAATCCAAGATAAATAATATTGCTATAACATTTGATTTATGCCTTATAATCAGTTCCTGCTTATTTCAGCCATTCCAGGTATTTAATCATATAACATTTTTCTACTATTCTGTATATAACAGTGAGGCTTGTATGCATCCTGTTAATATGGACAGCTTCCCTACACAGAGCTATGACTGCAAGATGGAAACATTTGAGACGTATGATGAATCCATAGTCACTGCTACAAATCATCAACGTGATGTTGCACAACCTGTCAACAATCAAACACCTGTACAGCAGCTGCAGATGCACAGCCCAGATGCATCAAGTCACGACGCATCAACGTTGCAGCAACAACAGCAGCAGCAGCAGCAACAAGTAGAGCAGACACAGCAGATCATGCTTCAATCAAACACTCAGCAAAACCCGAATCTAACTCCAGTCCGATTACCAGCTATATTAGATGGAGAATTCTTCATAGTGGTCAGAGTACGAGATACCAATGTCTCAGTGCGCTGTTTGCAGTGTCAGAAAGTGTTGAACGGCAATCTGAAATCCACTGGCAATTTTCTTAGTCATATAAAGGTAAATTATAACATTAATTAATAGACAGAAAAATGAACTCTTTGATATAATTGAAGTAGAGAGAGAGAGAGAGAAAGAGAGAGAGAAGTATCAATAAGAGTCTGAGTACAATTGTATTGGTGCATTTTATCTTTGATTTAATTTAATTTCAAGTCTGTTGATATATTTTTTTTCTTGTTTTTTTTTTCGATATTTATGGATAACAATTAATGATATGCCAACAAATAACTGAAACTCCTTGTTACGGCTTCTCTTGTGATTGTAGATTCCAAGAATTTGGACAGAGAAATTTGTCAATCTTGTTTCTTTTTTGTAGCGGTTACATCCGTTTCTGATTGAGAAAATAAGATGCAAATCTAATCAGAGAAAGCCCGCGATGATGTATATCGACTCGACGTCATCTGATAAATGCTCGGATATAATGCAAGCAAAACGTATAGTGGTGCAAAGCAAGAAACGTTGTAAAGCGGTAAGCACAATTCTTTTCTATTTGTTATTTATTTTGCTGTTCCGTGTGCTTGCGCATATATATTAAATTAATAAAAATAATTACATTAGAATTATTTAAATTATTTTACGCAGATTATTTTTATATTAAAAAATAGAATAAAATCAACATATATTTTTTAAACTCAAATTAGCTGTGCTTTTTTTCTTATTGGTCTTTCTTTTGTCACTACAGTTTATCACAGCACCTATTTTTTTCTCTACTTACATTATGATTAAATTAACATATATACATGCAGGAGGAATCTCCGGCCGAAATCGAAGAATCTTACAATAATCAATCCTCAAATTGGAATGATGGATCATTGACGCAACGACAATCTGAAGAACCGGAGTCCACAGATCTGCCTTTGAAGATACCGCATAACAATCCATTGGTGATAGAAGACGAATTTGACGCGATCGGCCGTAACGTCGCTGCCAAGCTCAGGAACATGAAGATGGACCAAAGAATAATCGCCGAAAAATTGCTGAATGACATTTTATTCGAAGCTCAGCTCGGCAATCTTCACAGAGATTCGAGTATTCACGTGTGAAAAAATAATGTACAAATGGCCGATACATATATCTTCTAAGGAATCGCGAACGAACGATCTCTGTGTCCCGCCCGATTCAGCGGAAAGTCGCAAGCGATGTGATCAATAGATTTATCTGTAAGCTATACAACGTATGCTTGTGTGTGCATGAAAATAGTGCGTTCAATGATGAATAGCTATTTTTTTTGGAATACTAAAGGATTGTGATTTAATTTTATTGAAAGACATTTTTATATCTTGTAATATATCTTGTATATCTTGTAACATATATTCGCCGCACAGTCGTCTAGAGAATTATCTCTAAATTTTTGGACAATGGAGAGAAATTTATGTAATTTTATGTATCTTGTTTTTATATATTATGTAAATTTATGTATCAAGTAATTTTAGATATATATATATTTAGATATATATATATAAGCGTACACATAGGGCCACTCTTTTTATAAATAATATGCAAATGTATATGTGTATATATTTATAACTTGTAAATATATTCGCAATTCGTAAAGCATATTGTTAAAAAGTGGAACATGCTGCCTAAAATAGGTGCAAAAGATTTTTGACACTTTTGCATTGAGATCTATTTTAAAGATCAGAAGACAATCGAAGAAATTTTTCTAGATAAAAAATGCATTGGCAATATTTTGATTAAAATTCATTCGAAACCGTGCGCAATTGTATGTAACAAAAATGACAATCTTTTGCACCAGTCTAACAATGACTATGTCTAAAAGTCTTTTTTACATGAATTATACGTTCTACAATTAGCATAAGACTGCAGTCAATTGTAACGCGTATAGCAATTGTTCATAAATATATATTAATATATATATTTAATATAAATAATATATATTTAATATATATATATATTTAATATATATATATAATATAATATATTTTTAGGAGGGTGAAATAGTCGTCGAAACATCTGAACACAAGAAGTTTGGGCTTTTGCTAAGTCAGAGAATAATATCTATAGAATCTAAATAAAATACGACGTAATGTTCAATGCATATCCGAACGTTTTTGCTTTCTCCGCTGTGTTACGTCAATTCCTACATTTTCCTTACGCGTAAGTATAACATAGTAAAAGGAAGTACGATTCTCAGAAGACTTTTCGAAAGGACGGAACTGCCTCGAGCGATCGTCAGCTACTGTACACTCGGCACTTCTTTGGCTTGAACATCGCGTGGTACACCAGGGTCGAGAGGACGCAGAGCGCCATGCTAACAAGGATCGCGCAGAATATGTAGGTATACCAGAAACCGTCCCAGTCGGCGTTCACGTACCACGACAGAGTGAGCGCGGTGTTCTGCGCCATCACCAACACGTAGTATGGCAGCGTCCACCAATCGGCGTACTTGAACTTGATCCGGTACTCGATCAGGCTGAACACATAGACCAGGCCGAGCCAGAGATTAACGAGGCACGCGATCGCATCGTAATACTTGGAGTAGTAAAAGAGATAGATAAGCATAGCGGCGTAGTGCACGCTGAGCACCGCCAGCACGATCGTAGGATAGAACTCGTATGCCAAGGCGATGGCAAACACGCGCGCCAGGATGAAGAGGAACCACCAGACGAAGGACAGGAACTTGCCCATCGGGTCGTCCTCTTCGAGACCTTTCTCGGAATACTTGCGTTTAGGAACTTTCAGGCTCTGCCCGTCGTTGCTGCCGCTGCCGCTGCCAATCAGTCTTTGACTCGATTCGACGGTCGACGTCGTATTCGTTGCTTCCGCTTCTCTGTAAACGGAATCCGGACGCGGAGGCGCTGGCGCATCCGGCACCGGAAGCGGGGCGACCGTCGTGATGCCGCGCAACGGCGTCGGCGGCGGCGTTACGTGCGCATTTTTCGGCGGCAACGGCGGCGTCACAGAGATTTGACGGTTTAATGAAGCTGCACGGGATTCCTCTTGAAGCTGCCGTTCGTAATCGGGAATCGGAGTTTCTTCCAATGGATTGTTTTCCGGTGACTCGGCTGGTGCGTCTGGCTTGTTCTCCTGCGATGACGGAGCAGGTAACATTTGCAATGGCGCCTTCTCTTCGATATTTTTCAATTCCTATTCGAATTAAATTAACAATGTTTGTTGTGCTCCAAAATAAACCTTTTCTCAACAATTAAATTAAACGTATAAAGTACACAAATAGCATTGAATACAAAGATAAAACATGTAAAATTTACAGAATATTAATCATTTGAAATTCTCTGTATATAAAAAAAGATTGTACCAAGACTTATATTTATGCAAACATAATATCTTTGAGATTACTGGACTATTATCTTTTAATAAATTATTAATGATTTATGTACCTCAATGCGGTACTTCTTCAGCCACATTGCCCATGGCAATTTTCTGCCGTTTACACGCTGGCTTTCAAATCTTTGAAAAGAAGCTGCTTGAATGGCCAATATTATGATAGACATGATGATGCATAGCACTTGTATCGTCACTGTAATAGTATATTATTATTATTATATTGCTTTTTGAGTTATAAAAAAGTTATATTTACATGAGAAAAAAAATGGCTTACCTGATTGATAGCTGCGCGGAGTAGAGCTCTGTCTAAAGAGCAGATGCGTCTGAAAGACGGCCTGCGGAGCGGCTTGAAACCATGCTTGCAGGAAAAAGTACAGTTCAATAGCTGCGGGCGCTGCAGCTACATTTAACGTCTTAACTCTCGCATCTCCTGACAAATTTATGGCATCTACAGACAGTACGATCAGTCCTGCGTATCTATAAAAACGTAATGATTTCCATATATGATTATTTACCATCTAAACTGTGTAAATTAATCAGATGACTTAAGTAATTGAATTCCAAGTTATTAAAAGAGACAAAAATTAATTAAACTATCAAATAAATTGATTTCTTCAAAATTATGCAATACCTGTACAGTACGAAGAAGACGAAGAACAAGAGCTGGCACACTTGGAGGCCAAACCAACGAAGAACACCCTTCGACACTTTGTCATCATCTGTCATCCACCAATCTGGCCTTGAGACTGTCAGTATAAAGTATGTGAGTGCTGGGGCATACATGAACAAAATGGTGGAACTTCCCCATAGTGGATTGCCTTCCCTGAAGTGTTGAATAGCTACCACCAAATCAGCAGCAAAGTGAACAATATACACAAAACAATTGAGCAATATTGGTATGAGGAAGATCAGGTATATCTGCTCCGTTGATTTCAACGGGATCTTCATGCAACGTATGGATTTTCTATGACAAAGCTCAGTTGTGTCATATGCCATTTTTGCAGAATTAGCAGGTCTGCTTCAGGTCATTTTTCTCTTTTGATACCATATGTATTCTGCATTCAGAATTCTTCCACTGCCTAAAAAGAAAAAAGTATGGTTAGTAAGAAAAAAATAAAAGCAGCCATGATAAAAAAAATAGTATTATTATTACTAAATGTTATTTATTCTAATGTAATAAAATGTGGAATATTTTTGCTATATAATAAATAACAAAATAATCCGTGGAAAAAATTTGTTATAAATAATATTTTAACGTGCGTGTGAATTTATTTAATATTTCCTATATGCAAGATATTTATTAGAAGACTGAACATATTGAAATATTAGCTGCTAAACAATTAGTATACATACTGAGACTTTACCATAAATTGTTATGGATCAACTATGACGTTTCTAAAACAGCCTCTTGAGACTAATGGAATCATTTCCACAATAAAGACCACAGTGTTTTACCAAATAGCGCAGTCGCACTCTTCGGTTTTGCACCAAACAGCAGTATCATTGATATTCCTCCATTTGCTCCACATTTACAAAAAATACAAAACACTCCGTGTAAATTACAGTCGCGCGCAACTTGTGAGGTTACGATGAACTTTACGGAAGAATGATAAGGAAGACAAGTGGTGCAGTTTGATCGATTAGTCAACGTGCCGAAAGAAAGATAAACTGATAAGCCTTAGTTTCGCAAGGTGACGATAAAACGTCTTCGAGTGCTGATACCATGTTGCCTTTGTTACGTACAGTATAGGTTATGGTTATTTTTTTTCTTTTTCAATCGCAGACGACGCGAACGAACACGTACACCAAAAACGCCATACGAGTGCAAGAGCACTCGTCCCGTCGCGCATCCGAAGGAAAGCGTCGACTCGTGCGCGCACGCATACATCGTATAAAAAAGATAACCTGCAAATGTGTATAATCCGATCTAACCTAATCTGAGGACATCTGAAAATAACCATTCTTTTCAACTGCATTATAATGCACTTCTTGCATTCAAATTAGAATATTTTTAATCATCTGGATAATTTAAAAGACCACAAAAAACGAAGTTAAAAAACAAATGCATTTAATAATTGCATTACCAAGAAAGGAAAATATACAAGCAGAAAAGCGCATTGCAAGCGCCATCTGGGAGTATTTCGAAACTGATTTTTTAAGCGCGGTTTTTAAAATGAGATTGTAATATTATCAATACGTAAATTATATGTAATACAAATTATCAATACATAAATTAGTGAGTCAATATATTTGCTCTGTTAACATATTTTCTCATTTCACAGAACCTAACAAAGACTGATGGGTGAATTTTATTGACAAAGTAGCACTTTATTCATATGAAAAAGTAATACAACGTTAGGGCCTAGTTGCAGAATATATTTTATAGATCTTTCTATTTATTAGTGATCATTGATTTCTCTCCCTTTCTATCATGCTAACACAAAGAGACGTCATTCGAATAATTAATTCTTCTTCTCCAGAATCATTTAAAGCGTATGTATAGAGACAATTAGAAGGCCATTGTTTTTTGGACACTATTTCTGTATATTTATATGATGCTCTGCTCAAGACTTTTAGATTATATCTCATGTGAAAATGTGGACGCCGTAAGCTTGTTATTGCGCGCATATATTACTCTCATCTTTCTGCGCAAAATCACTGTGTTTGTTATCGTGAGTTACAATCGTTTGTAGTTCACTAAAACGTACACTTCTCGAATTTATAAGTTTCGCTTATACGAGTGCAACTTGTAAAATACATCTTATTAATCTTTGTAACTCCAGTGAAGTATCACTGTTAATCAAAAGAGAAGTAGAAAATCCAAATAATTACTAATGAATTACAAAGATCTAAGATATATTTTCCAGAATTGCAAAACTTATAATTCGAATACTTCGAACAAGGCCTCTTTTGTAACTTGCAGTCTATATATAGGCTTAATGTAGAAAGAAAAAAAGAGAAGTAAAAAAAGGTTTTTTTTTCCTATATGCAGATTTAAAAAAAAGTGATGTGGCATTCGCTATCGACGTGTCTAATTATTAAACCAGAGTCATTCTATGAAATACATGAAACACAGGCCTCTCCAAATTTTTGTTTCGTGAATCAAATAGTTGCATCTCGATATAACTCTGCTAAATAAGAGAAAAAACAAACAGGCTAGATTCTGAGATGATTCCACCCAAAATCGTCATATGTGACGCAATTATTGATTAGTTACATATATGAAGTGAATTTAGATAGACCTGATAGATCATAATAAAATTATATTATTAATTATTGACCAAGTCATGCAATGAATGATAACTTCAACTTCTTGTGATTCAATAATCGAAGCGTTAATATCGTCTATCAAATGACTCCCAGCCGGAAACAAAAATAGAGATTGTTAAAAATTCATTTTACGGTGCATGTAGAAGCGTTTGTCGATTGTGTACATGTGCTATTTTTCAGGTATATGTATAATCGAGGAGGCGAACGCACAAATGTCTCTCGGCCCTAGCCTTTTACCAGAGCTCGCCATCCTTCTCCTTAGCTGGAACTTCGATTACTCGCGGCTTGTCGATTATTCTGGCAGTGCGGAGACCTTTTTCCACAATGCCAATAATCCACGCTTGATATCCTTCCTGTTTCTCGATGTCTTTGCAGTACGCCGCAGCCTGTAGAGCATATGATATGTCATGAATATCAACAAACTATGTAGCCTAAATTTTTATATTACAACATTATCATATTGAATTTGTAGATAAAACACATCTAAATTTGAGCAGAACTTATTCATCTAAATTAAAGTGCAGGCTCTACCTGTCGTTTTTTGCAAAATCTCATCTCTTTTGATAAGAAATACTCTACTGTATCAGCAGGAAAAAACTAGTCTACAATTTATGAATGTATAAACAAAAAAAGAAGATTTGTAGTTGTGCCTACAAATTTAATAATTTGACAATAGTAGCTAATTGACCTGTTCTCGAGGAAGGCAAATAAGTAGACCGCCACTGGTCTCAGCCGAATGACCCTGTAGTAGCTGGAACATATTACCGCACGCCTTCGCTACCGCCGCCATTTTCGAGATAACAGGCAAATTGTGAATAACAAAGGAGACTTCATTCTTTTGGTGTTTGGCCAAATTCTGAGCATGTCCCAGAAGACCGAAGCCCGTCACATCTGTGGCCCCATGTGCGTTGTACTTATGCATCAATCTAGCAGCTGGAAAGACGATAAAATAACCGCAATTAACATTTATTAATTTCGAGCAAGATTTTATTAATTAATTTTAACAAAACATTTTTTACATAAAATTAAGGGGCAGTTTAAGTGTAGGATGGTCTTCAGAACTAAATATTAAAGCATAGATAGTTATAGAAAACCTCCATTTCTCTACCTGCCGTTCTTTAGAATATCTCACTGACAAGAGATACTCTACTGTATCAGCAGGAGAAAATAAATTTATAATTTGTATGAGCGAGAAATTTTTTTAAAGATTAAAAAATTTGTAGCAAATCAAGCTTTAAGCGGACAAACAAACAAAGAATATATAGTTCTCAGATTAAGAAGTGGATTTTAATGGATTTTTAACTCAAAAGTTAATTGCAACATATTAAAATTTGGAAAATAGTAACAAACTTTTCCAATATTTTAGAGAATATAATGAGAATATAATGTCCAAATGAAGGAATGATTAAAATAAAAAATTGGATTGTCTTTATGTAAGTTTAGTATGTGTACAGCAAAGTGTTTACCTGTCCTATTCAATCTGGCCATACTATCCATTGCACGTTGATAACCCTTTCGCACATCCTCCTCACTGACTACTAGTTTAATTCTATTCCAACGATCTGGCTGGTCGAGCCATTGGTGTGCATTAACGGCGACTTGCGTACCAAGAGGTTTTGTTAAGACCAGCACATCTCCCACAACAGCGTTGTCTGGCCTAGAATTTAAAAATATTTTAAATTTTAATATTACTTTAATATGTTAAAGGATAGATGGTATCTTTTTATACTCACACAATATATTCATTTGGCTGGCAAACGGTAGTTGCAACTCCACCTATGGTGCACCAGGGGTTTACAACTGTCTGGCCACCTGTCACTGTCGTGCCTGCTTCTAAAGCAGAATCCTTAAACCCTCTCATGATCAACGGTACGACCACATCGCGTTCTTTCTCTGTCATTTTCGTACTGACTCCCAGTAACATCAGCATATTGTCGCAGTCCGTGACTCCCATCGCGTACAGATCACTAAGGACATTGGCGCACGCAATTTTACCTGAAAAGCACCTCCAATAGCAATGAAGCAAAGTGGTATATTTGTTGCATTATTAAATTTAAATTTATTAGTTAAATAATACGCTGTGCCTCTTTTTAATTCTAATCTCTTTTTAATCCCTTTATTTTTTCTTACCCATCATATAAGGATCATCAACTAGGGGATAAAAAAAATCTGTAGTTTGCACCAAGCTAAGCCCGCCGTGTCGCACTGGAGTCACGGAGGAATCCATGCCAATGCCTAAAATATTACAATTTTTTTATTAAATTACTGTTCCATATAAAATAACAAAAAATGTGTCCAATAAAAACAATTTAAATATTTTGTAACATAAAATTTTATCTTACAAGATTAAAAAAAAATAATATAAGCTTATATGACTCTTTCATCAAATAATTAAAAAATACTTTATATGTAATATAAAAAAGCATAACAATAATTAAAATATATACTATAAAAACAGTGGAAAAAAGAAATAAAAAAGGAAAATGTATATTTAAAAAATTTAATTAGAGAATACTTGTAGAAAACACAACGATCAAAGAATACTTCATACATTTATCATTAGTAAAATAAAATTTGCATATTCTATTGCTTCGAATTTGTGAAAGGATAGTCAGACAATTAACTAATTGAGGTTGAGAACATCTGTACTTCCGCTAACATAAAAGAAATTGGGCGGGAGACGACACGGCTGCCATATTACGACAGGGCTGCCTCGTGGGGTTCCCGGAGCCCCTAAATAAATAAAAAAAATTTCCTCAATTGCTTCATATTATATACTTTAAATTTTAAAAAATCATGAAAGCACATGTAAAGTTGATTAGGTATTCTTCCCGGTATTTTTCCACTCAACAATTGATATTTATAAACATTTTTCGTAAAAATACAAAAGAAAAAACGAAAAAATATACACGGTGATCAAATCTGTTGGTGCCGTAACAAGAGACTCGTTCGGTCACTTACCAATTCGAGGAATCGCCATGTGCATAAAGTGGGCATGCTCGTGATCCTGTGCGGACGCGTCATCAGCCTGCAGTCCCTCAAGGAGTTTTCCAAGAATCTCCTGAGGGACTTTACACCCTCATCCTTTTAGATCGGCGAAACGCGTCAAGCGGAAGGATGCATCGAGATCATGCGCCACCGGGTCAAATGGCCTACGTAAGGCTAAAGCATTCGGATTTCCCTCGAGCTCGAGCTGCGCCACGGCCAGGGCGTCCTGTGTCACCGGGGTGCCCTGTAGTTCCGCCATTTTGCCTAAGATGCTCTATTCGTGTTTGTGAGGTGAACTCGGCGATGCGATCAAGTCGGTTTTTACGCCTTTGCCCGATACACGCCGGTCGGCCGCGTGCTTCGCGGTGCCGCGATATGAATAACGCGTGAAGCGATCGCGATTGCCCTGTTTTCACACGCTCGTGCCGCCGCCTGTTTCCACGCTGACGATAACGAAACGCCGCCGAAGGACAGCCACTGAGATCTCCCGCGCGAACTTCCAGCAAATAAGAATTATACTATTCCACACCGGCGTCGACTAACCGGGACCATACGCACCGACAAAATGGACGCGCTACCACGGACACGGCGATATCGAGAGCGCAAGCGAGCCCCCACGATGCCACCGCCACGGTGTCGATCGGGTGCTGCGATTGGCCGATTTCGAACGCACGCAGCCGCAGTTGCCTTCGCGCTCGTGCTGTCGCTGTGTAGGACCGTATCGCGCTGCTAGCCGAACCACTGCCCTAAAATGCGCCTTCTTCCATTGCGAAACTATACATTTCACTCTAGCAGAGTTCGACATAGCTGATAAAGATTTTCCGATGATGACACGCTTCTGAATCTATGCCATGATAATTCAAAGAAACAAATAATTACAAATATAATTGATGTTAAAAATAGAAAAATAATAATTATAAAAGTAGTGTATACATTTGAAGATAATTGATTAATTATCATATAAATATGTCGATAAAAATAATTTAGCTTTTAACGCTACGTTGAATAAAACTAGATATTTTCAAATGATTATTTGTCTCTCTGTTAGGACGCAATATTATACTTGAGATAAAATAATCATTTTATTGATTCAATCAGAGTAATAAAACGATTAAATGTAATACAGTTGCATCTTGTAGAGCGCAAATTTAATCAAGACAATTCCTGCGAATATCTTTTATCGCTGTTTATTCACGCAAATAGGCCAAACTCTGCACCGTCTAGCGTCGAATACGAGGATATTCATATTTAATCCACATTGATCCTAGCTCACGCGAGCAGCTTTCGCTTCGCACAGCAGACCGTATTGCAGCAATGTGTGCAATTTACGCGACATGTCGATATCATGTATGGGTTTGTATGTGTGCATGAGACCGAAGTCACAGCGACGTCGGGCGAAGTCGCACGCCGGTCGAGATGCACCGAGTTCACCTCGCGAAACGATCCACGCCGTTCATTGGTCGCCTCCCAGTGTGCGTTTTGCCATTTTACTCAAGTGCACCGCGTTATCGCAGCACTCCGATGTGAAGCCAGTAGTTCTCAAACGCCAACATATGTTTCTCTTATTTAGATATGTATATTATATGTATATTAATTATACTGTACTGAAATAAAAAGAAAACATCATTTACTTAGATTGTTTATATTATTATAATTATATATATGGTATATTTTAATTGTGATTAATGTTAATACTAAAAATTTTGTTATGATGCTTTGTTATAATTACAGTAACATTACCTTGTAATTAATTTGTTCAAGATATCTAGACAAGGATCACATTATTTGCAAATCTCTCATTATTTCAATGCAAGCAAGTTTTACATACACGTATCAATTGTGATACATTTTCTGATTTGCATAGAATGTAAAATTTCTACGGAATTTTCTTTATGTACGACTTTGCATTTGACAGGAATAAATTTACAGCTCGATTAATCACAGATATCTCTTACACCAGGTAACTTTGTTGAACAGAAAATATATTGACAGATCAAATATTTATATCGTGTTCGAACCGCGACAGAATTAAAAATGTAAAGTCGTTAACAAGCAATATTAATACTTACCTTGATGTTTTTAAAAACTTGCTAAAATATTAGTAAAAAATAGCATAAATCTTTCATTTGTTGCTGCACGATATAAAATTATGATAAATCTCATTCCTTTGTTAACTCTTTCGTTCCTACTTCCGAAAAGAACCAATATATTCGTAAAATACGTAGCTACATAGCTATTATATGATATTAATATAACTTATTGTTAAATATCTGATTATTGAAACATTTATTGTACATCAAAGCAATCCACAGGTATCTGTCAAACTTTAATAACTCTAATGCAAAAGCGCCATCATTTCAATGGAGTTAAAAAATGTCGATATCGACGTTATCAACGGATCGGTTAGTTAAAAACCTACTTTATCAATAATTGGTAATAATGATCACTATTTTGTAGATCGTCGATTATGATGATGTTTACTTTGCTTACGATATAATTTTTTTTTGTAAAGCTGAACCAAACAAGAGTAGTGAGTATTGTAAAATACTATAAACTGCAAAAGATTTACAAATGTATGTACAAAAATGGTAAATCTAAAAAAGGTAGATAATCTTGATTCTGCTGCAGAAGTAATCTTGTTTATAGAATTTGCTATCTTGTTTAAAATTTGTAAATAATTGCTTAGAATGACTATAATATTTCTGCAACATAACCTAAAGTATATAGAGTAAAATAGAAGCCTCTATAAATTATATTCTTAAAACAAAAAAATATATGTGCGGAAAATTTAGAGGAATAATTGGGTTTTTCTGATCTGAAAGATGCATTATAAGAATGACTTCAATCATTATCAATCTTTTTGTATCAATAAATTTATACTCATTATGCCAAAGTTGTTGATTTCAAGTTTCTTTGCTTACAAGAAAATTTTTAATTACGGAAAAAGAATTATTACAAAGAATAATACAACAATAAAATAACGAACACACAGAAATATTTATGATAATAAACTCAATAAGAATAATCATAATACGTGTCTTATCGTTATGTAATTTTATCTTTTTAGTATTATTATCTTCTTTCATTGTCAGTTTATCATTATTATCAGGTTGATCATTATTAACAGATTTATCATTATTAACAAAGATGATATTTTCCTAGTTTTATTAGCCTTGAAAATAAAAATTTTATCTGATCTACGGAAGAAAAAGTAAACAAACTTTTAATTAATTAATCTAATAGACATCTGTTTTGACAGGTATGGCTGAGTACAAGCGCGGCGAGTGCACGCGTACTGAGCGCGCGGTGCCGTGCTCTCACTCCACAATCCACGTCGCGACGCGGAGCAATTCAGTCTCGCTCGCGCGTCCGACCGGGTCGGATTCAATGTTGTGTACATCAGCTGCATGTGATCGATAGCGAGGACTGACTTGCGTTACCACCTTCCTCGATTTCCGTGACGATTCATTTCGGCACCGCCGTCATCACCGTCGTCGTCGCGGTGCAGCAGATCGATCTCGGTCGTCGTCGCCGAGATGACGTCGTGTCATCGTCATCTCCACTGAACCATCATTCGGGAGTCGATGAAGCGACCTCGGCCTCAAGATGATGCAGGAGATTCCCGGTGCCCCTGCCGATGATCATCGCGCCTCCACCGCGGTGCTGCTCAACACCTTTGTCATAAAGAAGAAGCGGTGCCGCGTGTACTTCCATCGCGGCACACTCATCTGGGAGACTGAGCGACCGCCTTACAGTAAGGAGATATTACTATCATTATTGAACTGGGCAGAGAATGCTTGTGCAGCATGAGATTCGAGAAAGAGCTATTGTAGAAGTTTCAGCTTTGCGTGGGAATCGGTTCAAGGCATTTTAGATTGATCTCTAATTAATCTTCATTTTCGGTGATAAAAAATTAGACTTACGTAAGTTTTATTAAAGGAGAAATAAGCGTTAATTGGATTGTTTCATGGATAAAATATGGTTCATGCAAGAATATTGCATATATTGCATACTTCAGCAAATCAGTTTTAAAATATTTCTTCACCGATAAACATCGTGTGTTAATGTAAGTATTATTCAATGGAATATATTTTTCCTTAACTTTCCAGAATATTGAATATTTAATTTTGACATTAAATTATATAGAGCGATTGTTGATGACATTGAATTATTACTTCACCGATGACGTATATATTTCTTAATACAAATACTGACGTTCTTAAATTGCTAGTTTGCCTTGATTTTAGCATATTTTACTACTGGAATAAGTTTGATAGACGCTCGTAAAATTCGATAAAACTTATTCGTCGTAATGGATGTGGATAGAATGATAGAAAATGGATCGACTGTTTCTCGAATCAACAACAGCTACGCGCATTCGCCTTGCCAAACTCCCCTTAGAGTGAGTCTTCTTCCAAGACAAATAGGCGCCACGTTAATTAGATTGTTATTTCGTCAATGTAGTACAATTCTTTTCGGCGAAAACATCAAATAATCAGTTAACATCAAATTTACTAGTTCTTTTCGAAAATGGAAGCATGAATTTAACGAGCTCTATTAGATTATTATTGTACATTTATTGTTTTAGATGCAAAGACGTAGAATCTTGCAAATTTTAAACAAAGAACCTCTATTTGTTGAACACACAATAGCGCAATTTTCCAAACAATTGTCTTTTTAATTCTGCTTAGAAAGCAAAAAGCCAAGACGAATCTTGAATAATACGAGACAGATGTAGATAAAAAATATCGCAAATCTGATAAAATATATTTGTCAAAACTAGACGTATACGGACAAAAGGTAAATCAATGATTTTTCAGTACTGCGCGTGCTTGTTTGCCGCTTGTTCTGCCACGCTCCGTTTATTCTCGCTTTACCTCTGACAATTCTTCGACTTGCTACTCTGCCGCTTGATCCGGTTTCGCGTGTTTTTCGAATATGAAAGTAACAATCTAGTTTAGACGGCTTCTCGTTCGCTATTACTCGTCGTACTTGGCGAAAGGAAAATTTTTCAAGGATCATTGCGATATTTTAATAATTGGAAAAGAAAAACATTGCTTAAGACTTATCAGCGCGAATAATTTATTTAAATTTCAACGTAGGCTGAAAAATAAAATATTACGTAAAAATATGCTCGACGCTGCCTCATTTTCTGCATTCGCGGAGTTACATAATAATAATTGCTAAGCGCGAGTCATTAGTCCGTTTTTCTCTGTTCGTTCGATTGCTCTTATGAGGCCAATGAGCGCTTATTAATACAAGTCAAACAATTCTCGCAAGGTGGACCGGTGTGCGACGCGGTTTGAATGTGTGGTGCATGTTAAGAGCCTGTGCGTGCCAGGCCTTGACCTTCCGTCGATACATCTTACAGCAGCAGGCGCTGCGAGAGCATCTCCGATCATGTGACGGCATATTAAAAAAAATTGAGGATTGCGATCAACGGAATATATTATCCTCTTAACAAGAATAATGCTAAACAGCTGCGTGTTAAAAAGAGCGAGGTAAATTTTCATCAGATTTCTTTCGCGAATTAATTTGTAACGCGATAGCGAGGTTCGATCTTGCGATAAGCTGAGACGCTAATTATTTTAATTAATTTTCACACTTTGTGAAAGATAAATATGTAAAGTATAATTACTTGAAGCATGAAAAATTTAAATCAAATATTAAGTAATTAAATTAAACGGTCGATAGAGCTTAAAATGAAATTTAATTGCCGAAAGTTAATTGCCGAAAATATTTCGATTTAGTTATTCAAGAAATTATACCAAGCGACGATGTTGCAAAATTGAAAAATTCGAATCACTTCTTATCATTTTAAATATTGCTTAATAAAATTCAGTACTATCGGAGACAATAATAGTTTCATCCATTTTTCAAAAGCCTAATAAAATTTGCGAATAATTTATATAAATTTCAGGTTGATAAAAAAATTACTACGCAGAAATACGTGAAAAATAAAAAATTAATCGGTGTCTTCACATGTCGAGGCTCTCGCATGTCGCTTATAAATTCACATTCTTACAACTCACTTGCTGCAAGGACAACGGGAACACTAATAATACTAATTTATGCCACTCTTAAAAACTTCACGATATTTCTCTTTGCGTAATAGATAAAAAGATTCAATTTTTTTCAATTTATTTCAACTCTTAAAAGTGCGTTAAGCTATACATTATTGTGATGCTTTTTGACGAGACAAATTTTAAGACGATAAGAAGGGATTAAAATTTGACAAGATTTAGGTTAGATTGTACTCTCTCAGTCCTTCAATTTTACACAAAGATACAATGAACTTCCTCGTGTCGCCTTCATGGCTTCTTATAGATTTAACACGCGAAGCAAGGATGGTGCAGGGAATATCAATATGTTTTCAGCGATCCGCTCACGCAAACGTGAACACATGTCGATATTCGCCTCGTCCTTGAACATGATTTGCATATTGTTCCATTTCCTTGTACAACCGCGTGCGCGCGGGATCGCGCTATGAATATTAAATAAGATAGTGATAATCTCTCCGCGCGTATCTTCACCACGTGTATTCTGACCTAACAATCAAGCCCTTGTAACCCACCTACCACTTGCATAGGTGATAAACTTGCCCACTGAATCCTACCTAATGCTTATATCTGGATTTGTGGAAAAAATGATGTTCATTTCAGCTAACAATATTCAGTCGAAAATATCAGACGAAGATTGTGAATATTTAATTACGAAGCTAATTTATGCATCATATTTTTATAATTGAACTTTTTGCGAGGTAGTTTAAATAATTAATGAAGAATATCACAGAATAAATTAAAATATAAATTATATTAAAATATAAATTATGATAAAACACACGCTGAAAAAAATCATTATTCGTTATCCGCGTTTTGCTCAATGCTGCTCTCCAAGCAGCTTAATTAACATTTCTTGAAGCCTCTGTTCCGATCGCAAAGGGGGTAATCTTTATGAAGCAATCTTTTATTTATTACAGACGCACTATTATGCGAGCCAAAACTATTCGCGGAGCTGTAACACCGGAAATAGTGCTGCTAATTTCGCGACGCGCGACTTGCCGTCGCTTTAATAGCCTTTCCAGTTTCGGAACGTCGTGCGTTGCTCACGGCAAGTGCATCGGCGCGAATGCAGTCTTTCACTTTTCATAGTTCAGCATACCGCCGGTATTTCTTGCGGCTTGTACGCTACTCCCGTTAGGAGAAACCTGTGTGCCAGCGCTAGAAAGCACCGCACCGTGTCGACAGAAGACCTACAATGCACAGGCAGTTTCCCTTGATTACCGTTATTCTGAATTATTTATGCTATACTGATTATTTGTGTACTATACTAATTATTTGTGTACAATATTCCGTAATATCATTTTTCAATTATATAAGCTATTTCGCAAAAGTATGATTCTTAGATCATTAAGTCCACTTTGCATAATTCCGAGTGAATCGCTGAGAATTAATATTATTTTAATCATTATTACAGCTCATTATATTTTCACTTATTATTGCGACAATATGTTTCAAGATAATGTTAATAATATACTGGCTGTATCAGCTGACGTGAACACAAGGTGTGTCACTCGTAATGCGGGGAGCTGTCTTATAATTATCAAAGACAATGTAGCCGAAGTCATGTAATTTGCGATTGTCGTTATGAAATTAGTGCATTTGTTTCCACGTACTTTATCTTTATCATCGACCTGCTTGCTCTCTCACGTCTTTTACATGACACGCGAAATGTCTCGATCGCGAGACATTTTGTTAAATGTACATGAGAATAGCGAGATGATTGGAAGCCTAGTCATGAAGTTTTCTTGTACATTCCACGCACGCAGAACGTGAAGATTCCCTGATTTCACGTTTGTTTTCCTTTGCTTGTCTCGTCAGCTCGTGGCTTGTTTGCTCTCAGACTTCTTATCCCCCATAGGCTGAGCACATATTGCTGCAGACGATTGATTACCCTTTAAAATAGTTCATGGCTGCATGTAAATGATAGTTTGTATCGTGCATTGACTCAATTTGCAACAATCAACTCGTTCTCAAGCCGCTTTCGAATCTGAATCTATCTAATTAGACAGCTGAGTTTAATTTTCTACAGCAGTTTTATGCTTTCCAATATTCTTCACAGCGTGATCGAAATAATTCAATGATGATGTTGATGTCGAAAATAATTTAAAAATTACTGTTAAAGCCTCAGTTTATTATGTATAATCAGCAAAACAGTTGATTAAGCTCAATAAAAAATCGCTCCGCGTCTCGATGTACAAGGAAGTGCGGGATGATAATTGTCCGTATCGCATCGTCTTAAGGTCGATCGCGACGCGCGATGCATCGCCAACGAATCGTGCCTCGATAACAACCGCTCAGCATAGTAATTGTGGTCGCATAACGCCGCAAATTGTGCTCCGCAAACGCGAGAAATCAAATCGCCCGGCTAAAAATACATTTCGCACGTGCACCGCGGTGCCTGGTGCACATCTCCCTTTGAGCGCATCGCGCGATGCATATCCTCGCGCTCACATCGATTGAGTGCTTCCTGAATTAAAAAAAAAATACTCGTTGCATTTTACTAGATTTAATAAATTTACCGATTTTTGTTAAGCGGACACAGAAAAGTTTTAAACAGATATTTCAAAACAATCGAGCAACTTCGAGTAATTGCACTCGTACGTAAATACGTGTGCAGCGGCTTGTGAAGACCACGATAAAGAAGCAATTCCCAATAATTTCGAGCTAAAATACATGGTAATGCGGTTGACGCAACACTATCTATTAGTCCGTTTCTCCGTCCGCGCGGAGGAAAATTGTCCTACAATTGCGATTAATGGCTAATCATTAGACGTAACAACGTCGTCACTTGCCGAAGTAAACGTTGCCTTAACATTTATTGTGAAACATCCGAAGATAACTCACCAGTGCTACCTTTGCCGTGGACGCAACGTCCACAACAACCTGGATTATCACCTGACGAAATCCCGACAAGCCAGACGATGGAAAAATCCTACAGCGAAGCTTTGAAGCTCGACAAGAAGAGTGCCACTTTCGATCATTTTCAATTGTCAATTGCCCTGACAGACGACAAGTGTGCGAGATGATAGGCGATATTCTAACAATTTATCAACAAGAGAAGAAGATAAGAATGCGTATCGCAGAATATCCTCGCAATTTGAAAGAAGTCTTGCGAGAGAAATGTGTCAAGTGGAAAAGTCGAGGAATCTTGCCACTTTCTTCGATAAACTAACGATAACATCCGCGTTTGCATTGAATTCAGTGAAACGTATTCGCATCGAAATCTACGCAAAAAAAATATATCACGCGTAAAATGTAATATAGAGTTTGATAAAGTCATCGATGTGAAAATAACCGAAGTTATATAATGTTGATAAACACGGCGAATCAAGTATTCACCTTACCGAAAATATGAAGTGTTTCCTTAGAAAGCTATCGGACACCGTCTTATCTGAATGATTGTTATCTGAGAATTGATTGTGCTGTTGCGTACGTGTCTTCGTGCGCCTGGGCCACAAACATTCGCCAAAAGCAACGTGCGCTGATTTTTGTTGCACCGCAAGCGATGTCTCTCTCTCTCTTTTCTTTTTTTTTTTTTTTTTTTTAAATACAATGTCATTCGTCTATTGAATCTAAAAGTCAATTATCCGTTCAATATTCAAATAGAACTATTTTGTTTTGCATTTGAAATGCCAGCAGACATTCGTAAACAGCTTTGATATCAGTCTTTCTCATTTTTTTTCAGCCAGATGGACGCTACCTATGACGGACGTTTTGGCCGTGCGCTACGGCGACGACTGGATACCGAGTGCGAGCGTGCAGGAGAAGCAACCGACGCAGCCAACCTCGCCCACCACAGTGTGCCCGACGAATTTCATCCTACATTACGCCGTGCGCGGACCCAAGAACAAATGGAGGCATCACAGTGTGACCATGAGTCACACGGACCCCAGGCAGGTCGCCTCGTGGGTGAAGACCATCCGAAATTATCTTCTAGGTGTGTGTTACACTATGCGCGGTGATCCTTGAAGTTTTATATTCATTGGAAACTTGGCGAAGCGTGATAGCTCGCGATTAAACGAGAATTAGCCTGGCAATTTTAGAATTACAACATATACATAGAAGAAGTCTATAAAGGAGAATTTATATCGCACAAATGCGAAGGAGACAAAATTATGAGATTGTTAATTCGAAAATTAATAAAATTAAATTATATTTGACTTAAATGAAATCGCAAAATCAAAAGTGCGCCGGTAATTTTCGCGACGGTCTCGAGAAATGCGTTGTATGCAGCGGTTAAAAAAAGCATACGAAAGCGTAACTTGTTACTTGAATGATAAGCCAATGTTAAGTCAGCGAAAACTCGTTTCTAGTAGTGTTCAAAACGATAAAAACTTTGTTACACGGCTGTAAAAATGACGTAAACCTTCTCATTGATTCACTTACATGACAGTCATGCAAAAAAGACACAACTGCATGTGGAAAACAAATAGCCGGAGGAATCGACGTGACGCATAAATTAGTAGGAAGTCGCTGGTTCTTATTTCATCGCTGATATCACAGCGGCGCTGTGCGGATGCGATATTGTTTCACAAAATAATTAATGATAAGTTCTAAAACAATTCCAGTTAAAGAAGTGAAAGAATAAAATCAATCTTAAAGAAATATAAAGAAAAGCTTGAAAATCAAGAACAAAATATCGAGGCAAGTCAAACGTATAATTACGTTGGAGATTATTTCTAAATTCTTTAATTTATAAGAAATAAAAATTATATGTTATAAAATTAAAAGGCTTAACGGGTTAAAACTAAGATTAAAATACCATTCTTGCGTGAAATAACTGTCTCATCATAGTTTTATCTTTTCATCACAATTGTACTTGAAGTAAAAAAATGTAATATATCCAACTAGCCTTAATCAGGTTGGAGGTCGACATAAATCGCGACGGTTAGTACTAGAAGAATGTATGCGATGATCCCGGAACTTTGATAATGCAGTATAGCTCGAAGTTTGCGCGAAACTTTTAATTCGTTTCATTCCGCGGATTCTAGTAGTCGTCGAATTAAATTGCCGCGCTGGTTTTGTTATATATAGATTTCAACAATTTCTAAATTAAATCGCCGTTCTATTCTATTCTATTCTATTCTACAATTTCTCAATTTACAGATTCTGATAGTTCTTAAATCAAGTCACCGTTTCGTTTCTTCAATTTTGCTATTTCCGATAGCTTTCAAATTAAATTGTCGTTCCGTTCTTTTAATTTCATCGTTTATCAAGATTATTGCAAAAGTTTTTCGGTCAATTTTATTTAGATATTATCTCAGAAACGATACAATAATTCTAGTAAAAATACTGTCATTATGTACTATCTTTTGTCATCTTTTTTACTCATTGTCAGTATTTTTAAAACATTTAAACATGAGCGACGGAAACTTTTGCGTAATCTTAATAGATTTTGGTAGTTTCAAGATTGAATTGTTGCTATATTTCTAATTATATTGTATTTCTAATTATATTGTGTATCTTTAATTCTATTGTTTATGCGTTGATGGTTTTCAGATTAAATTAAATTGCTATTTCGCTTAAGAGCGTGGCGAAATGAATTAAGCGAGATGCGATCTCCCGTCTCGCTCGGCACGCAGCGATACTGCGCGTTATTCGGTCCCTGAGGGAGAGAGGGAGGGAGAGGGCAAATTTTAATGAATGTCGAGAAAATAGGGTGAACGTAAACTACCCTTGTCGACGCAAGCCACCAGCTTTGGTATTGATCTACGAGTTTGCCGTGTCTCGTATAACCACTTTCATGAAAAACCCGTTCGATTATCGACGTTACATCGCATGCGACAGACAAGATCGATCGCAATGCTAGACACGATAAAGACCCCGCTTTTCTCCTTCGAGTCTATTCGACCTATTTCCATTTTTAAAGAGCTGAAGCTCATCAAAACTAGATCGAGGAAAGAGACAAAGTGAATTTAACAAGACTCGTTCTTGTTTTCTTTGCTTCATTAATTTAAAAGTCGTGTAGGAAAAAAAAAAAACGAATAAATTTTTTAATGCAGTAAAGCGGTAAATATTGCATCTAGCGTTTTTAAATTTCATAACTTGTCAGTACTTGTTTTCACGATGCAAAAATGTTTTAGAATCGTTTACAAATATTCCTGCAATTTCAGGAGAATAAAAAATTGTAATTGACTTACGTATGTTATAAATTCCGATGGGTCGTACATCCGAGGAAATTTCCAGAGATCGAAGGGATTAAAGATGGAATTTAAATTGTGATCCATCGTTTCAGGCTTGACACATCGGCCGCGCAAGGTGATGCTGTTCATCAATCCCATAGGCGGTAAGAAGCAAGGCGTAAAAATCTGGGAGAAGGACGTGCAACCGCTTATGACTATCGCTGGTATCGAGACGAAGATGATGGTTACCGAGAGGGCCGGCCACATTCGCGATACTCTGCTCACGGCCGACTTGAGTGACCTACATGTGAGTCCTGCGCTCTTGCGAAACTAGTCGTTCTGCTCTCCGTCGCGCTTGTGAACTCCGAGTCTGAAACGAAACCAAACGTGTTAATTCTAGAAAATAAATCGATTTGCACTTGTCATTCGATTAAACAGACCAGTTTAGACTTCCGGATTTACATTTGCATAGTAAGTTAGTTTAGATTAACAGTCAAAAAGTCTGGGGAAAGTCTAAATTTTATCAAATTATACACTGAATACTAAATAATGTGTATGAAGTTGTAGCCCCACACTTTAATAAAATTAAAATAATCGAAATTGTACTGCATTGTACTAGTTTTGTACCAAATTGTACCGTAGTTAATTTTTTGAAATCACGCGCGGATTTACAAAAAATCGAAATTTTTGAATTTTTTGAGTAGCCCCACACTTTTCGAAAAATGATTTTTTCTCGACTGTACTACATTGTACTAGTTGTACCGAACATTGTACCGTTTGAAAAAAATTCCTAACAAATTTGGATTTTGAGAAAAACAAAAAATCGAAACATTTTGGACATTGCGTAATTACGGCAAATCGGCTATTTTTTAAGATATCGAAACGCGGCCAACGGGGTTCGAAAGAGAATCGTTTGTACCGGTTTGTACCGCTTTGAATTTCGTTTGCACCTCAACCGGACCGGAAGTACCGAATTTTGCAATTTTTAACAATACGTAAATACGGTAACTCGGCTATTTTTTAAGATATCGAAACGCGGCCAACGGGGTTCGAAAGAGAATCGTTTGTACCGGTTTGTACCGCT